CTTTCCCTCTCCGCCAGTTTGCCTTCTGTGCTTTCTTCTTATAATTTTTAACGAACACGCTTTTGAGAATGACGCAAATGTGGTTACGTTGCCTGGTATAAAGAAGATTGTAGCCTGATGGAAGAGTAATGGTGCGGAATTTTTTTCGTCCAGTATCTGAGCCCGTTCCCGTGAAATCCTCCAGGAAAATGTAGCGAAAAGAGAGTTCGTCCAGCGGCTGAAACAATCTCATCATAATGCGCCAGAATACCAGTGGCGATAATTGGAAAATCATCAACTTCTAAAGTCTGGTGTACCGTTGTTTCATTCACTAGCCTCTGGAGGGATAAAGGATAAAGCATTTGCCGTTGATCAATCCCTTTTTGGGATGCGGCACGCATTCTACTTCCATTTGTACATTCGTAGTGGCGTTTGAATGCGATGTGGCCTATACAATGACTTGCGGGGGCCAGCCGATGTACAAGTCAGTGTTTTTACCTATACAATTGACCCCGGAGGGATGGAAGCAGAGTCAACCCTGCGTTGCGCAGTTCTCAACGGCCACGTTGCGCAGTTTCGCCCGATTAGACACGTTCTCTCGCGCGAACATTCACACTCGCATGCTCGAGCCGTCTGTGTCTCCGCCCATACAGCGTGCGTTGAGGATCTCTCAACGTGCCGTTGCGAACTGCGCAACGCAGGGTTGACTCTGGATGGAAGGCTTGGTTGGCCCGCGACTCACGACCCAGGATTTGATCCCGGACCGCTCGCGTGGTAAGCGTGCCACTTGCCACTACACCACTTCCGCCCCTCGTGAGCAGGGTCAACCGTTGCGTTGGCACTTTACCAAAAAAATTGCGACCCCCTCCCACCTTCAGGGGGCCCGCAGCTAACTCTGCCCACGTATTCACTTCTCCCTCCAAAATAGCCGTTGAGTGTGGGGAGGAAGAAGTGGTTGGGGTAGGGTAAATACCTCTAATAAAGCAAAAGCATATCACGCGATCCTTCAATTTTGTGCTTGTGAGGCATTTGATTTAATTGTGGAAAGCCATCCAAGCGTTTTACATACACGTCCTACGGGTAATAAATCATGCAGTAAACGAAAATGGATTGAGGAGTTTGTCCCATCCTTTTCCTGCAATGTTTGAAGGCATCATAAAAAAGCTCATTACTTGTGGGATGACGCAATAGTTTGATTTGAAATTGCAGGGTATTCAGATGTGATATTGCAATGCAAAGCTTAGCAGGAATCCCTCTTTACGATTTCTTTCGAATTCTTTCAGTATCCTACAGAGTT